TATTTTTTGCCAGTGGTGGGGCTAGTAGATTCTTCTGAATTAAAGCCTGGTGATTTGGTCGGAGTTAATAAGGTTAGTTTACTAGTTCAGAAGCGAACAATTTTTTGCTTGACTGTTTTGCTCACCAAGGTTTTCAGGACTCTTATTTGGTGCTTGAAAAGTTACCGGCCGAATACGATTCTCGGGTGAAAGCTATGGAAGTTGATGAGAGACCAACTGAGCAATACAGTGATATTGGAGGCTGTGATAAGCAAATTCAAGAACTTATCGAAGCTGTTATTTTACCTATGACTCATAAAGATAGATTTGTAAATCTGGGGATTCATCCTCCGAAGGGAGTATTGATGTACGGGCCGCCAGGTGGGCAGAATATTAACGTGTTCAATATTAACTCATTTTCAAGTCTAATATTAATATAAGATTGCCAGTTTCATGACCGTTATGGCAGCGGCCTGTTGCTATTGCGCAGTGAAACTGTAAGTTTGTGAAGCAAAATTACGGCTTCACTAATTTGAATTTGATTATTAAAATGTTAAATGTGATATTATGGTATTTTGATTGTTGTATACAGTTGCTGATATGTTTTAGGAACTGGTAAAACTATGATGGCTCGTGCCGTCGCAGCTCAAACAAAGTCGACTTTTTTGAAACTAGCTGGGCCCCAACTTGTGCAGATGTTCATTGGTGACGGTGCTAAGTTGGTCAGAGATGCATTTGCATTAGCCAAAGAGAAGGCTCCGGCAATAATTTTCATTGATGAGCTTGATGCCATAGGTTTCTTTCTACCTGTTTACTGACTACACTAGTACTCTCCACTTTATTTACTGTAGATTTTCTTCTTAAGTTCCTTGATCAACTCCATAAATAAAATCGGTGTGAAAATTCACAAGAAATTTGTTAGGAGTGATTAAGATGGTTTAAGGGTTGCAAAGTAATGCTGCACAAAGAAAAGGCTGAGAAGTTTAAAGCTACAGTAGAACTTTTACAAAGTCACAGTTTTCACGAATGTAGAGTTTCATCGTTGCCTAATAGTTATTGGGATTTAAGAAACTTCTCGGCGAAGTCTCTACTTTTTTTGATCATTCTACCAACAAATTCATTATAAAGCCTTGGTTTCAACAACGGTTGCCTTTTTTAAAGAAGGAGGTTGGGTGAGAGACAAGGGAGATTTCCGAAATATTTTTGAGGATAAATTTCAAACTGTCTCGACGACCACTAGATTTCAGGCACAAAAAGATTTGATTCTGAGAAGGCTGGAGATCGTGAAGTGCAGAGGACCATGCTTGAACTTTTAAATCAGCTCGACGGTTTCCAACCAAATGATGACATCAAGGTCATTGCTGCCACAAACAGGGTTGATGTATTAGATCCAGCCTTACTGAGAAGCGGTCGTCTTGACAGGAAAATTGAACTTCCACTCCCTAATGAAGACGCACGGTCACGAATCATGCAAATTCATTCACGAAAAATGAATGTTCAGTATGTTTCTGTGTTTTTTTTTTTTGCGTAGTTAGGAAGTTCCAAATATTATTTTTTCGTTCTTGATCACTGGCCAACTAAGTCTTATATGCTCTTTTTTTTTAGTAGCGATGTTAATTTTGAAGAGTTAGCGAGATGTACTGACGACTTCAACGGTGCTCAGTGTAAAGCAGTTTGTGTGGAAGCTGTGGGTTTTCATCTTTTGGTAGTTTGCGAATTTCTTTGAAGCGATATTAATTATTCCAAGTGGTTTCGTTGAATTACGCTTTTAGGGTATGATTGCTTTACGCCGCGATGCGACTGAAGTCACCCATGAAGACTTTATGGATGCCATACTGGAGGTTCAGGCCAAAAAGAAAACTTCATTATATTATTACGCATAGTTTCTTTGTTCTATTTGTGTAAATTATTTTTTGATTGGTTTCGCTGAGGCTATTTCAGGCTGTTCCTTCTTTCTACATAGTGAGTTCAAACCGTTTCCAGTTTTAAGATAAATGTCGTATTAAAATTGATCATTTTCTCTTTTTTTTAATTCTTTAAATCTTCTGTTTTGATTCTGGTTCAAGAGCGCAGTCTGAGATGCAAGTTTCAGTTTTTCACTCATGAAGTTGGGTTCTCCCTTTGTTACGGAAATAAAGTTTTTACTTATACATTAACTTCACATATTTGGTTAATGGCTAAGCCATAATGTATCGCTCTATTGTGGTTTACAGTTTTTCTTCCATATTGCTTTTTAAATGTTATAATGAAATATTCTTTGCAGTTATGTTTCAGAATGAATTTGATTTTGTGAATATTGTTTGATGTAGCTGAAGTTGGTTAACATAGTCAAACGCTTTTTTTGATTAACGTTCTGCGAGCAACTACGTGTTTGTATTAATCTAGGAGAGTCAAGTTACTTTTTATAACTTGTAGTATCGCATGCATCGTATGATTTGACGCCGTGGTAGCAAGCTGTAGATCTGTAAAGAAGGAAGTTCAGTGGCTCAGTGAGAACCGTTTATTGGTTCGTCATGGCTGCTGCCGATGCAGATCATGGCTTCCAACGTCCTGCTGTAAGTTTTGGTTTTGTCACTAAAAC